AGAACTACACCACACCAGAGCAGGCCTGGGATTCACATGTAATTCCTGGCCCATAATAGCTACTCAGATGTTAGATGGTTTATGTGAAAGGAAAGGAGAACTTAGAAGGGAGCTGCAGCCTCAGGTATGGGATACCTGGCCCTGGGAAGGGGAGAGAGGCTGGCCTATTAAAATCCTCAGGTGAGGGGCTCAAGACTGTAATCCAGCCGGGCAATGGTGGCTCACGCCTGTAATCCTAGCTACTCAGGAGGCTGAGATCTGAGGATCACAATTCAAAGCGAGCCCGGGCAGGAGAGACTGTGAGACTCCTATCTCCAATAAACCACCAGAAAACCGGAAGTGGCCCTGTAGCTCAAGTGGTAGAGCTCTCGCCTTGAGCTGAAGAGCTGGGGGACAGCGCCCAGGCCCAGAGTTCAAGCCCCACAACCGACAAAAAAAAAAAAAAAGACTGTAATCCAATCTACTCAGGAGTCTGAGATCTGAGGATTAAGGTGTGAAGCCATCCTAGGGAAGGAAATTCTGTGAGACTTCAATCTCCAAATAACCACCAAAAGAAAAAAAAAAAAAGACAAATGGAGCAGTGGCTCGAGCAGTAGTGCATTAGCCATGAGCAAAAAAGTATAGTGCCAGCCGGGCGCTGGTGGCTCACGCCTGTAATCCTAGCTACTCAGGAGGCTGAGATCTGAGGATGGCGGTTCAAAGCTAGCCGGGGCAGGAAAGACCGTGAGACTCCTATCTCCAATAAAAACCACCAGAAAACCGGAAGTGGCGCTGTAGCTCAAGTGGTAGAGCGCTGGTCTTGAGCTGAAGAGCTGAGGGACAGCGCCCAGGCCCAGAGTTCAAGCCCCACGACCGACAAAAAAAAAAAAAGTATAGTGCCCAGGCCCTGAGTTCAAGCCCCAGGACTGGCACAAAAAAGTAAAAAAGACAAAAATCTTCAGGCCTCTCTTCCCAGGTATCAGCCTTTCCATCTAGCCAGGAAACTTCAAAAGCATAAGGTGAAAGAAAAAGGGGACAGGGCTAAGGGACTGTGGTTGTCAGGCTTCAGTAAGGTACAAGCTCGGGGGGTCCTGAGAAAAGCTGCCTCAGTGACTCTTTACACCCCAGGTCTGAGAGATCAATGGGTCATTTCATTGTAGCCTCGGGAGCATTATCTTTGGGACTGACTGAAGGATTTCTGTCTCAGTACAGCCCAGGATGTTTCCTGAGGGACACTTCTGGGATGAGGGGAAGAGCACAGACTAGGAATATTAAAGATTGGAAGATAGCTTATAGACGAGTAATATCTCAGCTAGAAAAGCAAGGCACATTGTCAGAGGCCTTGACGTAGTCTAGAATGCTAAGAAACATGGAGAATTGTCTACAAGCTTCTTCTCACTCCCAGGAGACTTTTTTTTTTTCCTTTGGTTGGTCGTGGGGCTTGAACTCTGGGCTTGGGCGCTGTCCCTCAGCTCTTCAGTTCAAGGCGAGTGCTCTACCACTTGAGCCACAGTGCCACTTCCAGTTTTCTAGTGGTTTATTGGAGGTAAGAGTCTCACAGAGACTCTTCCTGATGGGGCTGGCTTTGAATCTCGATCCTCAGATCTCAGCCTCCTGAGTAGCTAGGATTACAGGCGTGAGCCACTGGTGCCCAGTGACTTTTTTTTTTCTTAAACACTGCTAAGATATTGAAAACAATATAAATCATTTGCATTGGGTGATTTATACAAAGCAGCCCTAGCCAAGTCTCCCAGCCTCTCAGCTTCTGTGCATTGCTGGCACTGCCTTTTTTCTGTTTTTTTTTTTTTAATGTATGTATGTATGTATGATATATGCATGTATATATTTATGTGCCAACCCTGAGGCTTGAACTCAGCCTAGACACTGTCCCTGAGCTTTTATGCTCAAGGGACATTCATTCTACCATTTCAAGCCACAGCTTCAAATTAGAGGCAAGAGTCCCCAGGACTTTTTTTTTTTTTTTTTGTCGGGGGCTTGAACTCTGGGCCTGGGCGCTGTCCCTCAGCTCTTCAGCTCAAGGCCAGCGCTCTACCACTTAAGCTACAGCGTCATATCCGGTTTTCTGGTGGTTTATTGGAGATAGGAGTCTCACGGTCTTTCCTGCCCGGGCTGGCTTTGAACCGTGATCCTCAGATCTCAGCTTCCTGAGTAGCTAGGATTACAGGCGTGAACCACCAGCGCCCGGCTCCCCAGGACTTCTTGATTGGGCTGGCTTTGAACCATAATCTTCAGATCTTAGTCTCCTGAGTAGCTTGGATTACAGGTATGAGTCACCAGCACCCATATACTACTATATGTTTCTTAAGTTCCATAGGATGAAACTTTAAGAGATAATACAGACTCCTTTACTCTCTTAGTAGCCCCAGTTAGTCATCTATTTCTATTATGACACCCCTCTCCATCCACCTTACTTCAAAATTCACTTTTCACCATCTGATTGCTCCTCTCATCTGAAGGAGAAAGTCATAGCCACCTTTAGTGAGCAAATAACACTCCTGCTTTGCCTAAGTCCAAAAGTTGCCTCCATGTAGAGCCCAGTGGGATGTTGGGAGTTATCTGAGATCTGGCTCCAGGCCTGATGGATGGGCTGCTGCTCAACGTCAAAGCCTTGAGGGGAGCAGAGGCTTCTGGGAGCAGAAGGTGCTGAGCAGGGAGTCCACAGAATTGAGCCCTGCAGCTTTGACTGGATAATGGCAGCTTCATCTCCTACAGGCATTCAGAAGATAGCAGCTGGGCATTTTTGATCCGTGCCTATTTACATGGGATAGGTTGTGGGGCTTAGACATTCTCTGTTAATAAACACCTTTCATTTTATGTTATTGCCAATCCTGGGCGCTACTCCTGAGCTGCTTTTTCTCAAGACTAACTCTACCACTTGTGCTACTGTGCCACTTCCAGCTTTTATCTGTTTATGTGGTACTGAGGAATAGAACCCAGGGCTTCATGCATGCGAGGAAAGCACGCTACCAGTAAGCCACATTCCCAGCTCCAATAAACACCTTTTAAAACAACTGCCTTTGGGCTGGAGATATGGCTAAAGTGATGAGTACCTGCCTAGCAAGTATAAGGCCCTGAGTTCAAATCCTAGTATATAGGGAAAATAAAACAAAAGAACTGCCTTTGACTCTTCCATGTGGACCCAGGTAGCTCCTTTCCTTCCTCTTGTACTTGAGCTCTTTTAGTAATGACATTAGTAACACTATTTTTGTTGGTCATGGTGCTTGAACCCAGGGCCTGGGCACTGTGCCAGAGCTCTTTCTGCTCAAGGCTAGTGCTTCACCACTTTGAGCCACAGTGCTACTTCCGGTTTTCTGGTGGTTACTTGGAGATAAGAGCCGCACAGACGGGGCTGGGAAGGTGGCTCAGTGGTAGAGCGCTTGCCTTACATGTCTGAGGCCCTGGGTTCAATTCCCCAGCACCACATAAGCAAAAAGAAAAAAGCTGGAAGTGGCACTATGGCTTAAGTGGTAGAGTGCTAGCCTTGAGCTGAAGAGCTGAGGGACAGCGCCCAGGCCCAGAGTTCAAGCCCCACGACCGACAAAAAAAAAAAAAGTATAGTGCCCAGGCCCTGAGTTCAAGCCCCAGGACTGGCACAAAAAAGTAAAAAAGACAAAAATCTTCAGGCCTCTCTTCCCAGGTATCAGCCTTTCCATCTAGCCAGGAAACTTCAAAAGCATAAGGTGAAAGAAAAAGGGGACAGGGCTAAGGGACTGTGGTTGTCAGGCTTCAGTAAGGTACAAGCTCGGGGGGTCCTGAGAAAAGCTGCCTCAGTGACTCTTTACACCCCAGGTCTGAGAGATCAATGGGTCATTTCATTGTAGCCTCGGGAGCATTATCTTTGGGACTGACTGAAGGATTTCTGTCTCAGTACAGCCCAGGATGTTTCCTGAGGGACACTTCTGGGATGAGGGGAAGAGCACAGACTAGGAATATTAAAGATTGGAAGATAGCTTATAGACGAGTAATATCTCAGCTAGAAAAGCAAGGCACATTGTCAGAGGCCTTGACGTAGTCTAGAATGCTAAGAAACATGGAGAATTGTCTACAAGCTTCTTCTCACTCCCAGGAGACTTTTTTTTTTTCCTTTGGTTGGTCGTGGGGCTTGAACTCTGGGCTTGGGCGCTGT